ATGTAGCTTTTAAAAAAAAGATCTTCCCTGCACCATGAATTTTAAAGCTTTTTGAGCTTTAAAATTTTAACCCTTCAAGGAAATTGAACTCAAATAGTAGGAGCACTTGTTCTTCAGGAACAAGCCCCCTCCTGGGGGCTGTTAAAAAGAGCAACTTGATACCTTGTAGGAGCCAGAAATTGTGCAGAAGAGAGGCTGACTGTGAGACAAATGCCACAGCAGGAATCATTGATGTTGATATCTTACTCTTGATCTCATATCTTAGAAATTCCTGAGATCATTAACATTTGATTTTTCTCATAAGATTCTGATATAAAAATAAAAGCTGTCATTTATTTGAAATTCATCTAAAGAATTTAAGAGAATGTGAGAATTGTGAGTTCTGGAATATTCTTTGCACAAAAAGCTGTGTCTTGGTTCATCACAGCCTTGACTGGTTTCCCTAGCATTCAGATAAGCATAGACCTAGAAGAGACTTCTGCAGAGTTCATTCACTGTAAGTCTTACTATACACTTGAGGGAAGAGAGGCTTTGACTTGTTCAAGGTCAGACAGTAGCAGCAGAGTGGACCTAGGTTTCCTGCCTCAGTCTTCTGCAGCAGTGGAGTCACATCAAATCGTGAGGCTTCAACTGGATGTGAAAACTTCCCATAATGTGTTGGCTTAGGTGGACATACTGGTGTTAAATATCAAAAAGGAAGAATAGAGCTATGATTGGCGTGTATACCATTAAGGGAAAATAAGGAAACCATTTGTTTTTGCAAGCCACCTGCAAAAATAATAAAAAATTAACAAAGAAGTTTTGTCTTAACTGCATATTTACTGGGGCAAATATGCATTGGCTATGAAACCTGAGAATAAGCTTAGTAACATTATTATTGTTCTCAGTATAGAATGAAATCTTAAAAGCCACAGCTGTTTCTTTAAAAATTATCATTATGATTGTAGATTAAAATTCAGTATTAAGTTATAAAACTTTATATAACTTATGAAATGTCCAAAGGTACTTGTTTTTTGGGGGGTCATTTGAGTGATACTGGGACAATATTTCGTATGCCCAAATTTCTTTCTCTCTTATCTCCCTGGTGCCTAAAGTTTTTGCCTTTGGTTTCTGCCTTTTGGGTTATGCTCAAGTGGACAGCTAAGGGGATGTCAGTGGTAGGCAATGGTTTACCAGCTTGAGTTACTTATTAGTGCTCTAGCAGAGAGTAGAAACCTGAGGGAATGGGTCACAGAATGGGTAAGTTTTGGTGGAAGCAGAACAAAAAAGGGTACAACCAAGAGTCCTCTGTGTCATGGTGAGGACGAAGAAGTAAAATCTTTTAAAAATGAGAAGCATTCACAGAAAGGATAGCAGAAGCTGCTGAATAATAATTTTCCCTATCCCACAATTTTGTCAAGAATTTGCTTTGATGGCTGATAATATGTACAGGCTTTGGGGTTTTTTTTTTTCTTTTGAATAACAACACACTTATAGCATCTACATAGTTTTTTACAGGTTGTCAAGCACAGCCACAACCATGATGTCATTTAAGCGACCTTGTCAGTTAGCCAGGCCAGGTGCTAGTAGCTCCATTTTAGAGACAACGAATTCGAGGCACAGGGTTATTAAGTGACTTGTCCAAGTTCATATAACCAGTGAGCAGGGAAGCTAAGATGGGAACTTGCATGTTTTGGTTCTGAACCCAGTGTTCTTTCTCTTGTACCAGATTGGGTAGGGAGAGGAATTTATGCTTCAGAGTCAGACGACCCAGGCTTGAACTTGCCACTTTTCTTGCCGGCTGTGTGACCTTGGGCATGTTACTAACTGCTCTGAATCTCAGTTTCTTCATCTATGAAAAAGAAGGAATAATTATACCTACCTTACAGGATTGTTGTGAAGATTCCATCAGGTAAAGCAAACAAAGCAACCAGCTGTATGCCTGGCACATACTCCAGACATGGAACTATAAACACCTGGAAAAGATACCGACTGTCCCTGTTTCATAAACTTTTTCTACACTTAGAGGTGAAATGACAAATCAGGGCAACTTTCTAGTTTATTCAAGGATACCCTGTCTCCTTGGTTTACTTTAATTCCTGAAACTATCTCCTGTGAAAATGCATGTATGTGTGTGTGTTTATGTGTGTGTGTGAATGCACCTGTGCATGTCTGGGGGTACACCTGTACACAGGTACCCACAGGTACCCACATGTGTTGGGGAGACAGCAGTGGTTCCCTATGTTCTTAGGCTGTGTGGAACCAGATATAGTGATCAAACACGGAGCCTTTGTCTGCTGCAGGTAACTGGAAACTGGGTCACGATCATAAATCTAAGTCAACCAGGTGAGTCCTAGCTCTGTCACTGAGCTTTGTCCTTTCAAAATATCTGGATGATATCTGGACTTCCCAGCCTGATGACCTGGAAGGTTTTGGGCAGCTTCCTTTAGTAGGCACAGCTATGGACTCACACAACTGCATTCATCGTTGAGTATACTTTATTTACAATGATTCATTCTTTTTTGAAATCTTTTAGAATCACCTTGATTAAAATCATTACATAAAATAATCTTCACTGTATTTGTTACATGTGGCACAGAATAATTTAACACTTTATAAGTATGTTTCATTGATGCACAAATGGGAGAAGCACCCTTTGCCAAAAGCAATATGGGAACTTAGTTCAATTTGGCTGTGGTAGCACTTTAAAAAATGACCATGAGATGGCGCCGTGGCCAAGGAGATTAACTATGTTTAAACTGAGAGTTTTCTCTAATTATGGCATTTAATTCCTTTCTTTAAATATAGAAGAATCTACCATTCAACTTAGAGTAAGATTAGTAACTCTATTCTAATAGTAGTGACTAGGAGTGAGTCCTTTGATCACAGATCCAGAGATCACGCAAAGACTGTTTTGCTGGAGTAGGCGGTATATCTAAAAAGCCTCAGTCGTTAGAAAGTCCCCAGACTAAACAAAAGGCCCAAAGGTACCATTTTATTTAAGATCAATCAATTACATATATAAGGACCACTGTTTTCACCACCCTCATAGAATTGTGTTAAAGTCTTCCCACAAAATTAGGTCAACTTCCAGTTTATTCAAAGAGTTGATAATTCTGTTACATTTTAATCTGCTTTGACAGCAATGGAAGGTCATAGAAACATTAGAACATGAATTTGCATTTAAATCGACATCATCCAAACATGCACACATGTGTATATACTGAGTGTTTTCATTAATGATTTGCTTTTTCACCATATAAATATATAAATATCAAATAAAGTGCATGGGAACAGGTCTGTACATGTATACAGATATATACTTGTCTATATACACTTGAATAGATACTTATGGAGAGAAAAAACATACACATTTGTAATATATGTACTCAAAAGACATCTGTCAGGCAGTATTTATGTTTATTCTGATCAAGATTGAGTATATGGGGCTAGAATCTGTAATCTTTTCTCTAATACATACTGACATGTGCAGAGTTATAAACTAAGGCAAAATACATTAGAGTGGAGACTTTTTAACATTTGTATTTTTATGAGTTAGTATGGTATAATCATTAAAGTATTTCAGTTCAAATGTCGCCTTGATACTGGTGGATTACTATAAATTCTAGCTTTGAAAAAAACACCTTTCAGTGTATCTATAAGGACATGATTAGGATAGCCCAAATGCATTTCCAAATTATACAATAGTACCTCCCACATTCTTTAGTTTTCAAATCTATAATTTTTTCAAACAACTTAGAGCAAAAAACTATTTGTCAGTCAATAGAAATGCTTCAGTATTGTAATCACATATCTAACATCTATTCCAATAATAATGTGCAATTATATAATATCAGGGTGAATTAACTGCTGTTAATCTCTTTAGCAAACTTTTCTACAAAATATTATATTACTGCTTTTTTTTAATTAGGGGACTCCAATGTCAGTGAGTAATAAATGAGCAGGTTTTTAGGGAAATGGAACAAAAATTTTGCTCAAAACTTTGGTAGTCATAGGTTGTGTCCAGGTTGAAGAACATATTTCTAAACTAATTGCAAATTTTGACCTCAAGTGATATTTCCCCTCTTTTTGGTATTCAACCAATCAGGAAACTTACTGAGAAAACTACCCTCAGAGTTGAAACAAACCTGTTTCTGAACCAGGTAAGAAGGAGATAAAATTGAACTGATCCTCAAAATGTCTGTTAATTAATGCTTTTTGACAAGGACCATTCCAATTAAGACATTTTCTTTAAAGGCAAAGATCTTGTTTTAATTATTTTTATATCCTAAGTACCTAGAAAATTTCTTCACAGATAGTGTGCACTCAATAGATGATTGTGAAACCAAAGACGAACAATTTTAGTAAATAATATAGATGGATTGATCTGAAAGCATCAATTTATCTGATAGGTACAATAGGCAAGTCACTTGCATTTTACAGAGATGTCCTAAGACTCTACTGCTGTCAGTTGCCAAAAACCTGAGTTTATTCCTCAATCCTGACACAATTACATCAATACTGCTTACTGCTCAAAGGAGCACATACATGCACGATGCAGTCACTAAAGAGCAAGTTACCAAACACCTCTGTGGTACTTCTTAGGAGAAGCAATTTCTAGAAATGTATTTGGTAACGTTAAATTATACTTTTGATAGTTTACCTAGTAGAACAAACACTAAACAAGACCACACTGGAAATTCAGAATAAAGCATAAATAGAAGAGAAAGCAGCAATCGTTATTAAATAACATTTAAAATCTTTTTCACTTCTGAGAAGAATTAACTAGAAATGCAGCAAATACCAGCAACTTTGTGAATATTTCAAAGTGACATCTATGAAAAAGCAGGAATGGAAAAGTTGTCAAGTATTTCATTTAATTATCTTAGCAATTCAGACTTTATAACACTGTCCTTCGTGTCTTTTTGTTGTTGTTCAAAATACGTATTATGGTAAGTATTAAAGAGAATTTTTCTTTATTTCAGAGGCCATTATATTCAACCAATTTTTCACTATTTATAGCTATTTTTATTTACAGCAATAGGTGACCAACTCATGCCAACAATTAACAACATAGTTGCAAGGTTTCCACTGGAAAATAGAAGCTAATTTAGATTTATTTATGGCCTCATTGTAATTATACAATAAAGCTAATTATTTTAAAGACATATCATTTACAATGTTAAAAATAAGTATCATAAAGCTCACAGCTGAAATGCTGTCAGAACATTTTTGAAGTGCACATTTTGTGGCATTTAACCCTGCTTTTCATTGATGGAATAAAATGAGGCATGTAAGTATTATTGTTGGTTCCACTAGACTAGCCTAATTTTTTCCAGTCTCCCTATTTTCTTTTTCTTTCTTTTTTTTCCCAGATAGGTGAAAACTTGCTCAGTGTGCCCTCCACGGTTGCCATGGCAACTAGTCTATCACACACAGCTAACCTTTTCATTCACTGTGTTGATATTGTCTGTAGGAGCATCTTCTGAATGTTGTTTTCCTAGAGCAACCATAGTGCAGTCATTATCTGTCATCTTGGCATCTTTCTTTGAGTTTTTTTTTTGTCCCATTTGGAGTTGACTAGACTTGTAGGCCAAGGTTGGTATAGTGTTCACTAAAATTAATTGCAATGGTTTTTTGTTTTCCTTGTACTGACAGTGTATATACCGCGAAAAGGCCGACCTATAGGTCTTATTGAACAGTGTGTACACTAGCGGGTTGACTGCTGAGGAGAGGTAACCGATCCAAACGAACACATTGAGCAGGACTCCGATGACATCCTCATTGCAGGATTCTTTGCAGATGACGTCCATGATGTTCGTGATGAAGAAGGGGCACCACATCACCACAAACAGAAAGAAGACGATGCCCAGCACCTTGCAAGCTTTTTGCTCATTGCTGATGGACTGCATAGTCCTCCTGCCATAGGACCCAGGCTCCCTGTGGATCGACCGCTGGAAGAGCTTTTCTGAAGACAGGGAACTCTGAGGGAGGAAGCTGAAAGAAGCTAATTTGGCCCGAGTGCTGAGATCATTCACACACAAAGTAGCTTCTTTCTGGAGTGACTTGATAGTTAGAAAGTAGGTGATCACCATGATGGTTAAGGGAATGAAAAATGACACGAAAGAGCCGATCAAGACAAAGTTTTCATCAGCAAGTAAGCAGCTCCCTTTTTTGAAGACCTTGGAATCATCCTGTAGCCCAAAGACTGGTATTGGCATGGATATACCTGGAGTTTGACAGAGAATGAAACATGATTATTAAGAAATTGAGTACATGAAGACAAGAGCATTGCCACATAATGGTGGCTGTTCAAAGGATTTTATATCAACATTGTTTAAAAGCTTAACATATACTTTCAATGAGAATTTAAAATTCCCTTGGACTTATCTCTTTTATAAATATATATTATATAGTTCCTTATACTTATATGTTATATTGTTTATATAAATAATTATTTACATACAGAGGACTACAATAAATCTCTAATTTTTCATGCTATATTTTTTTGATTATAACATCCTTATTAATTGAAGAAAATACACACAGAGACAAAGAAATAAAAATGGAAATGACCAATGATGTCACCACCCAGAGATAACCACCGTTAACATTATGACGCTGTCATATTTTAGATAAACACACACACAGACACATACACACCATATACACACATTTTAAAACAGAATTGGAGTTCTATTTCATATGCAGCTCTGTATCCCTTGTTTTTACCTAACATGTCATAAGCATAGTTTATGAAAGTAACTTTATAAAATTACAAACATAGTATATTTTCTTTCTAGAAAATAAAAAAATAACAACAAATAAAGAAAAAGAATACGTATTCTTACCAGCTGGGGCAACCACAATTTCCACTTTGTGTAGTTTCTCTTTCCATTTACTTGTATATGTAAATATGCAGTTTTAGATCCCCCCATCCCATTTAACATTAAATCATGAAAATTGCACATATTTTATTTTGAAAAAATATGATTATCTAATGTGAATTTAAAGTAACTTTAACCAATTTTGATGCTTTTTAAAAGAGCTTTTTATTATGGAAAAATTCTAATATATACAAACAAAACAAAGGAAAACATCCGGCACAATGAACCCATTACCCAGCTTTGACAATGAGCGACTCAAGGCCGATATTGTTTCATCCATACCCCGACCTGCTGCAATGCTTCCCACGTTATTTTGAAACAAATCCCAGACATCATATCATTCACTCTCTAAATATTTTGTGTATATCTGAAAGCTATTCCCTCTTTAAAAAACATAATATTATCACAATACCATTCCCACTCCTAAATAGGAATTTAGTATTTCCTTAATATCATTAAAAATAGAGTGGGTGTTCAAATTTCCAATCGTCTCATAAAAGTCATTATGTATTTTTAGTAGTAGAGCATTCATAAGGCTGGATTACAAAAAAAATAAGCAGCCACAGACTTTTCTTTTATTGACAATTACAAGAGTTAGGTATAGGATGAGACGATACATGGGAACACGCGCCCATGGTCATTTGCTCTGTCACTTAAATCTGGGGAACCTATAAAGGCACAGGGCTTAGGCAGAGGAGGGAGCAGAGTGAGTAAAGGCAACATGTGGTCTCTAATCATGCTAACTTCTCCCCGTGGTGATAGGACCTTATTAAATGGAGATTCAACTGGCCACCACCACCATTATGCATTTTGGGGGGAGTGGGAGTATCTTGCTCTACTGCCTGTGATTGCCATAGAGGAACAGTCAGAGTGATGGGAAAGGACAGGGACCATGAATCAAATACTCTGTATAACTTAGTTTAGAGTTGCTCGTTTGCGAAAGGGTAGATACCACAAGGCCACCCTGGAGAAAGTCAGCAAAAAGATTCTTGATAACTCTTGCCCATGTTTTCAGCTCCCTCAGAACTGTATAACAGGGAGTGTCCTGGTCACTGCTTCCGACCACCCTTGAGAGTCTAATAAGTGGTCACAATCCAGCCAAGAACACAGATTTGTTCCAGAGTCCAGGGCTTCTGCTTGCTTGACTCTTGCCATCCATCTGGAAAAACTTCCTTTGAGGATCTATAATCTAACTTCTGCATACTCAGAACAGAGTTCAGCTCCATCCAACCATGGATCTGACTGTCCTAACCTCAAGTCATCTCACACTGGCCATCCTTGCAAGGAGGGGACATTAGCTTGAGTTAATGTAATGCTTAACACACATCTTTCTCAGTGACATTTGCCATTATCTTCACAGACTTAATTGACAGTATTTGTCACTTGTCTATGCAAGGCCATCCCAGTATTCTTGGAAGGTGGAGATATATGACATCAGAGCTGTTCTTAAGGACATGTAGTGTGGTTAATGATTCTTCATTTCCTTTACTCCTCTCTGTCCCTGGCTTGTTTCTGGGAACATTCTGTGGGCCAAGAAGAGATGGAAGAACTGTGGCTCCAAGAGGAATATCTTCTGAGACTCTGGATACATGCCAGTTTTGCTTATCCTTTAGAAAACTCTTGATTGCAAAATTTAAGACATGGTGTCTAAGAAGAGTGTTCTAAGTGTTTGAACATATATCTGTGAAAGGTGTTTCCTGTACTTATCTACAAGTCCTTGTTAGTGTAGTTGCTCATTGATTAGAACAAATGCTTTGGAGTGAGACAGACCTGGATTTGAGTCTTGGCTCTGGTTCTGTGCTCCTGAGCTGGTTACTTCATTGCTGTAGGCCTAAATTCCTCATCTATAATATGAGGCTGGCACCTAAATGCCTCCATGGATGTGACGATGATAAAATGTCCCAAATAGGCAGAGCACCTAGGACAGTGCTTAGTCCAGAGTGAACGCCCTATTAATGGTCAATAAACATGAAAATAGCTTTCTCTGCAAAATAATTCACATTAAATACATTAATTTGACTTTGTTCTATTTTGCTTTGGTTGTATATACTAGACTTTAAAATATATAATAGATCTTCTTAGACTAAGAGAAGTTAAAAAGAGTTTTGGCTGGGGCCGGCCCGGTGGCATAAACGGTTAAGTGCGCGCTCTCCGCTGCAGTGGCCTGGGGTTTGCCGGTTCGGATCCCGGGCGCGCACCGACGCATCGCTTGGCAAGCCATGCTGTGGCGGCGTCCCACATAAAGTGGAGGAAGATGGGCACGGATGTTAGCCCACGGCCAGTCTTCCTCAGCAAAAAGAGGAGGATTGGCAGATATTATCTCAGGGCCGATCTTCATCACAAAAAAAAAAAGAATTTTGGCTATTGTCTATGTAGTTAATAATAATGTAATTATCATCTTCTGCTAGGGTGACAGAGGGTCTCAATCAATTTTAATTTAGTACAGTGAGGACTATTGATGGGTTTTCTAGTGTGATGAATTACAGCCATTACTATTAGTCATGATACACATAAACAAAATATCGACCGTCCAAAAAAAGTATATTATTTTGTTATTAAGCTCTTGGGTGTGCATTTTCCTGATTCACACAAAGAAAGTCACCACCTTGAGAGCCTTTTGCTGTCTTTGTTTGTGACCTAGTAATTTATACAAGTGGCAATTCTCAATTAACCAGAATATAAGATTACCTAAGACACCAAATTCTTCAATCATTTGGAATTCAGATGTGTGTCCTTGTTTGGGGAGAACATACACACACACACGCACACACACACACACACACACACACACCCCTCTCCAGAATGGCTCAATTTCTGTGGCCAGAGAGGAAAGAGATGATGGAGTCATCTCACTGAAGTCGAGATTGCCCCTCTTAGCTGCCTGGGATAAAGAACCACTTTAAAGTGGATATGGCAAGAGGGCACAGGCAGGCTGTCTGGAAGGGGGACCTTGATTTGGAGGAGGAGAATCAAACTGATTAGATCTTTAAATGGCCCATTCCTCTTTACATACAACAAAAATACCCTGAATACTATCAGATATTTCAGTGCCTCCCTCTTGGTAACGGGTCAGCAAAGGTTTGTGGAAAGAATCACCAGATAAATTTACAATACTTTCTAAAAGAGGGGAAGGAATTTTACGTCAAAGAACTAGAACACTGAGATAGACTTTGTGGTTACAATAAGCAGTTCAAAAACACGCTCTGACCAAGAGAGATAAAGATGCTGGCTGATAACCAAGATTGCAGCCACAGCCATCTCCAGTGCATTAATTTTCTGGCTGCTTTGTTTGATAATAGCTGCTTTTGGAGATCTGGCATCTCCACTCATTTGAAATTTCTGCATATAAAGCATTTTCCTTTATGAACAAACAGACAGCAGCTTGAACTCCGTGACTTTGCATTTTGTTTAATATATTTTTCTGAGGAGTGGAAAACAGCAATCAAAATTCAGTATCAGTATTGGATCCTCCATGTGCATTTTGATTTCTTTTCATTAAAACTCAGACAATGAAATGAATGGGAAACATGGATGCCCAGGAACATGAAGGTTTTGGCTGGTGTCTTTCTTTTAGGGTTGCCCTGCCTACTCTTTGCACGTAAAGTTTGCACCTCTGGTTAACATCTTACCACAGTCTCGGTAAATGGCCTTAATTCTGAGCACTGGCTGTGAGAGACAAGCTTTATTCTTAATTCCAGATATTTACACTTTACTGTCTTGGGACTGAAGGTACTTCTGAGACTGTCTCCTTGGGAAATAAGAAGGTTGCCTTATTAGGTAGTGATTCTCTGGTGGGGAACACAACAGTGGGAGTCCCTAGGGCCTCGGGTCAGGTAGGAGGTACAGGGGAAAGAAACAAATACTTCAGGACTCTTGTGAAAAAGACTGAATTTTGGTTCATAGATTTCATTTCTCCTGGAAACACTACTTTTCCTTTGTATTTTCACACATGGTGAATTTTTTCAAGTTATAAGAATGGATTTGCTACCAGTTGACAGAAAGCACCACAAGTGAATGCTGAAGGACAGATACTGGACCACAGGGAGAGAGGGGTTGAATATAGAGGGCAGCCGGGCCAGGGACTCACCGTCCTTCTAATATAGAGTGTAAAGCTTAAGAGTTGCTAAATTTCTTATAATCCATGGTCTCTGACAAGGCAGATGTACATAAAAGTGAGAGCTGGATAAGCGTGTCAGTTACCCAAGAAATTGGATGTTTCCTCTTAGATTAATTCTGAATATCTCTAACAATGTCATAACTTTTCAAATACTTTCACATATATTCATTTACCCTCAATTAAATTTTTTGTGCCATATTGTAAAAATAACACCCACACACTCCT